GAAATTACAACACCGGTTCCTGAGGAGAACAGTGTTGTGCCTACGGATACGCCTGTCGTCACCGAGACAATTCCTCTTGTTGTGGACCAACAAGGAGCTTCTGATGCGGCGCCGTCGTTACCAGAACGCACCGTTGCCGTGGCGCTGCCGATCGCCATAGAAGTCTCGTCTACCCATCCAATAGTTACATAGAGTAAATCGGGTATTCACAAACCAAAAGAAAGGATGTGTCTACATACACGAGATGACAGTGTTGATATGAACTCTTAAAAACTAGAAGATAAATTGCGGGGTAGTGTTCTCCGAGCAGTCCTCAACACTACTACTGATCCCGGAGAAGAAGTTAAGATCTTTTTTGATGAATATATATATGATGGGTGCTTCTATCCCATCACTCACTACGTTAATAGCTCACGGTTCTCGCCTGCTCATAAAATCAAATACCGAGCTGATGGGACAGTGGAACGATACAAGGCTCGATTAGTTGTGTTTGGGAATCGATAGAAAGAAGGTGTAGATTACAAAGAGACATTTGCTTATTAAGATGTCTACGGTTCGGTTGTTCCTAGAAGTTGCAGCGGCTAAGAACTGGGAATTGCATCAAATGTACGTTCATAATGTTTTCCTACATGGTGATTTAGAGGAAGAGGTCTATATGCATCGTCCCCATGGATTCGGTGGTCCGAACAAGAATTTGGTGTGTCGTTTGAAGAAGTCGTTGTACGGGTTAAAACAGGCTCCGTGATGTTGGTTCGCTAAGTTGCGTACTTTTTCACTTGAGTACGGATTTAAGCAATTGTATTCTGATTACTCCTTGTTTTGCAAGCGACACAACGACACCGAATTACACAGACTTGTGTACGTTGACGACCTCATCATTGGAGGTAATAATCCTAAGTTGATTTCTGATTTTAAGATCCATCTTAGTGATTGCTTTCATATGAAAGACTTAGGCCATTTGAAGTATTTCCTGGGTATTGAATTTGCAAGGAATGGTGATGGTATTTTCTTATGTCATAGGAAGTACACGCTTGATATTATAACAGAAGTAGGACTTCTTGGTTCAAAGCCTGCTATGACTCCTATTGAACAACAACATACGCTTGCTTTGGTGACTGGTCGTGTTCTCGATTATCTGGAGTGCTATCGGCGTTTGGTTGGCCGTTTAGTTTACTTACTTGCCACTCGCCCTGATTTAACGTACTCGGTCCACATACTCTCTCAGTTCATGAAAGAACCACGGCAAGAACAATGGGAGAGTGCCTTGCGTGTTGTTCGTTACTTAAAAGGCACGCCAGGGCAATGAATTTTATTGAAGTCTGATTCTGATTTACAGCTCAGAGGATGGTGCGATGCTGACTATGCGGGCTGTCGTTTAAGCCGTCGCTCGTTGGGTTCTTGGTTTGTTACGCTTGGATCTTCGCCCATCTCATGGAAGAGTAAGAAGCAAGATGTCGTCTCTCGGTCCTCAGCGGAGTCTGAGTATCGTGCAATTTCGCTTACGGTTGGTGAATTGCAATGGTTACGTGATGTTCTTATTGATTTGGGTGTCTCTCACCCTCGTCCCATGGAGTTACACTATGACAATCAAGCTGCGTTATACATCGCTGCCAATCCAGTTTTTCTTGAGCGGACCAAACATATTGAGAAAGATTGTCATATTGTTCGTGACGCTCTCCAAGACAAGCTTATTGTTACACGAAAGGTTGACATGTCGGAACAGTTAGCCGATATCTTTACTAAAGCACTGGGCATCTACAATCCATATGCTCCAACTTGAGGGGGTGTTAAGAGGATATTCCTCTTACATATTTGTTTCCATATCTTGTATAGTATCGTATATCTTTCTTTCTGTATTTTAAAGATACGATCGTATATTCTTAGCGTAACTATCACGTTGATTGGGAGATCTTGTAGATACGCTTCTTCTCTATATATTGTATTGGTTTGGACGTGTGAATAAGACGAATCATTCAGATCTTTAAGCCATGTTTTACAATGTATATATAGAGTGATTATTAATTTATGATATTATTGGGACTATATTTTACATGGGATGTCAAAATAATTATTATCTTATTATTTTATCGAAATTTGTCAATTTTTACACTGGCCCAACTTGTGACTAGCAAAATTTATTAATTTATAGTGTTTATTAATTTATAGAGTATTAATTTATAGAGGTTTTACTGTACCAACCACAACAATTATTGGAACAGGATGATTCATCAACGAAAATGAAGAAGAACTCAGGTGAAAAACAACAATGTAAGAAAAGAAAGAAAGAAAAACCAGGGTTTGAAGAGGGCGACCTTTCGTATTTCCCTCGTTTATAATGACATGGAATGATGACGTGGAATTATGCATTTGAAGTCGCAAGTCAGCCACCAAACGAATATGTAACTCAGCTAAAATAAATCAGTCATCAAACACAACTTAAATCAGCAACAACATGAATAATATTTAAGTAATTATTAAAATATTTTTTAAGCTGCCAAATGCAGTCGTGACGTCAATAAGTCAGTCGTAACGTTAAATAAGTCAACCATAACCGCATACTATATTAGTAATTAATAATTCGTCAATAAGTCAGCCGTAACATGGTTGAGTTTTCCGTTAAGTCAGCCAATAACGACTGAGTTATGTCTCCGAAACATAAGTCAGCCGTAACGACATTTGATAACTCAACCGTTGTCGATAACTCAGCCAACCGGAAAAAGTTAAGTCAGCCGTGTCGAAGACATAACTCAGCCAAATTTCTGATAAACTCAACCATCGGAATATAACCCAGCCGTAACTGCGGCTGAGTTATGCGCGTAAGTTAGCCGTTTTCTCATAACTTAACCAGATTTTTATAAGTCAGCCGTAATTGTTGGCTGAGTTAAGAGCGTAAGTCAGCCGTTGACCCGAAACTCAGCCGTTTTCCAGAACTCAGCCGTAACGTAACATAACTCAGTCGTAACGTAAGTTATGGCTGAGTTATTGGAGATGCGCGCTATTTTATCTTACGTGGCGATGATATTTTTTGTAATTATTTTTTTCCTTTAACGTGTAAAAATGTCACATTAGTAATTAAAAATATCCAAAACAACTAAGTTATAAAAAACGATTTAGTAAGTTCAGGTCATTTCACCTAAAATGTGCTTTATCTAAGTAAATCTCTCATCTTCATAACTGCCAAAAGATGCAAAATTCAATTGCCGTCAGATATTGGTGTCAATCGACACCAGAGGTAGTGTCGCTCGACACTCACACCAAGTATGCTTTTCGAGTGCGTTTCTTCAGTCCATCTTCTCCAAATGCTCCAATGTGCTCCAAAGTCTCCAAATAAGTCCAAACGTACATAAACCTGAAAAGACTCGAAAACATTATAAAAACTCTATAAATAAAACTTATATCATGGTCAAAAACCCGTAAAAACTATGATATATCAATTATTTGACAGTAGGATTAATATTGTCAAGCATTTAACACGTACAAATCATTAAACTCAAAATTTAAATAACTAGAAAGTGCATGTATGTTATAGCACTGTGGATAGTTTAATATTTTAAATTCGAGCAATACTTAGGTTCACCCCTAAGAGTATCTCCAACCCACCTCTATTTCTTCCTCTAATTCTATCTTATAGCAAATTTTGCTCCAACCCACCTCTATATCCACCTCTATTATAGAGATTACTATTTTTATCTCTATATATAGGGGAACTCTATTTTTTCCTCTATAAATAGAGGTGAACTATTTTATTGCAAAGTAGTCCTTTTAATCCTAAACTTATTTTTTTTATAAACAAAATAAATAAAATAAATATATTTAATAACTAATAATAAAAAATATTTTAGAAGTTTTAATATAAATATATATTCTAAAATTTGAGACTACCATTTGCAAAAGTTATCTTATAAATATATATAATAATAGATTTTATTTTTATTGAAGGAAAAAAGAGATTTTATTTTACCTTATTATATATAATAATATAATAGAATTTAGTATCTTATTGTTTTTTTATATAATGCGATGTACTTTTAAATAAAAAATATATAATATGATGTTTTAATAATAAATGTTTAATTTAAATAAAAGTAACTATTTTATTAAAATTTTATAAAAGTTAAAGTAAATGGGTTAATTTTCAACTTTTATAAATATATAGTGTTAATATTAAAATTTTAAAAGAATTTATTTGGAATATTCTATTATAGAGGAAAAAGTAGAGGAAACCATTGGAGCAAAAGTCACATATATTATAGAGTTCCTGTATTATAGAGGCAAAAATAGCAAAAGCCATTGGAGATGGTCTAAGCGTGAACCACTTTTGTTCACCCTCCCCTATTCATTAGCCAATCAAAATAAAACAATATGCCATGTCATTTATATTTTAAAAATAAATCGAAAATAAAACAAATATTAACTACTCTTTTATAAACGCAATCCAAAATATAATTTTGTTTAATTACGAATCTTAACCCTAACCATTATTTTATCAGTCCAACGAAATATAATTTTTTCTAATTAAAAAATCTAAAATCTAATCACTATTTTGTCAACCCAAACCGAAATATAATTTCGTTTAATTACAAAAATTAAACCCTAACCACTAATTTGTTAACCCAAAACAAAATATAATTTTTCTTAATTACAAAATATAAACCTTAACCACTATTTTATAAACTCAAACCGAGATATATTTACTTAATAAAAATTCTACAAAATTTGTTTCCATAATTTTTTTTATTTTTAATTTTAATTCTGATTTAGTTTTTTAATAAAAAGTAATATGGCATATTATTGTATTTTGATTAACTAATTAAGACGGAATGAACAAGAGTAAATTCAAATATTTTCTTTAAATTATTGTAATTGTGCAGCTATGAAAAAGCCGTTTTCTCACCGGTTTATTACGGTTTAGTTCAATTTGTCTTACCAATCAAACCGCTTAAATCAGTGAACCGCTTTACAAACATTTATTTCCGTAATATTTTTCCCATCTTCACAGTAATATCCCTCTCTCGTCTCCGCAAATCTCCTCCTTCTCTCTCACTCTCAAACGTCGCATCTCTAAAATCCAAAAACCAATGTCGACGGTGAGAAAGATCACTCTGAAGAGCTCCGATGGAGAAAACTTCGAAATTGACGAAGCTGTTGCTCTAGAGTCACAGACCATAAAGCATATGATTGAAGATGACTGCGCTGATAATGGTATCCCTCTTCCTAATGTAACCAGCAAGATCCTTTCTAAGGTGATTGAGTACTGTAAAAAACATGTCGAAGCTGCTGCTAAATCCGAAACCGCTGTTTCTGCTGCGTCTACTACTACTACGGCTGCTGCGTCTGGTTCTAGTGATGAGGATCTCAAGACTTGGGATTCTGAGTTTATCAAAGTTGACCAGGGCACTCTCTTCGATCTCATCCTGGTTTGTCTTGGATTAATATATGATAATTTTGTTTTTACTTGATTTGGTTTTATCATTTCTAGGGTTTCGAGATCTGGGGTAGATCTAATTTTAGTATTTTTTGGGAGAGATAACGTTTAGGTTTTGAAATTTCAGTTTCTGATTTTAGGGTTTCGTGGGAGACGAAGTTGTTTGGGTTTTCGATTTCTTAAGTTATGGTTTTGTTAGGGTTTTGGAATCTCTGTTTTTTGGATTTGAGGTTTTGTTTCATGGTTCGAACAAGACACAAAAATAGGTTTTGTCCGAGATTTTCAAGTTTTCAGATCTGTAACGTTTTTGAGATCTTAGTTCTGTTTTCAGTATCTTGTCTGGTTATCTCTATGGTCTGTGAGAGAGAAAGTTTCAAAGGGTTTTGCTAGAAGACCACTCAATGACTAATATGAGCTTAATGTCAAATATGGCAACTCTGTGTTCTGTTTGTGTGCACACAGTTTAGTATATATGAGTTAGTGACCAACAACTCTTAAGATATGAGTGATTCAAGCTCGCGTGTTTTGTTCTGTCTTAAACATTGGATGATATTGAATTTGGCTTGAACCATAAAGTTCCATCGTTGTTCTGAAAAATTTCAGACACCTGCTAACATGGCATGTTCTGTTTAGTCTTATAAACGATGAATGATGTTGAGTTTCATAGGGATCGTTGTCATTGTTTTCTTTGTGGGCACCCAATATGTTTGATTTACTTGAACCATTAAGTTCCATTTTTATTCTGAATTCTTGAAGCATCTAAAGAGAAAGCTTGAATCTAATGGTTTCTTTCTAACTCAATTTAGGCTGCTAACTACCTGAATATCAAGGGACTGTTGGACTTGACCTGCCAGACAGTAGCTGATATGATTAAAGGTAAAACCCCAGAAGAAATCCGCAAGACTTTCAACATTAAGAACGACTTCACGCCAGAGGAAGAAGAAGAGGTTCGTCGTGAGAATCAGTGGGCATTTGAATGAATAGAAATGAAGAACCGGGTGCTGTATCGTCCTCGACTCATTGTGTCTCCCTCCCTGTCGTATCTTCTGTCTTTGACTATATATCCATTATCTTCTCTGTGTTGGTTCAGCTAAGACATTGGGTTGAATGTTATGCTATGAATGTTTAAATTCAATACTTAACTACCAAACATATGGAAGTTTGTTCCCACAAGAGAGTATTGGCTTATGTTAATTTTTCAATCATTTAATTAGGTAGCGACTTGAGAGTAATAAGAACAAATTGGGAAAACAGGAACAAGATAAGATTATTGTAAATAAATGCCTATACAAGCACACACGAGAGAATGATAGATAATTAGGATACAAGAACCTCTGCCTTAATCTTTAGAAAGGCTCATTACAAGTAATCAATGTGACAAGAGAAAGAGAGACATGAATGTAGTAACTTGCTGATGGAAGCGTAGATTGAGATTCTAGCGAACCCTTCTGCAGTTAAGTCTGACCTCATTACCATTCCCACTGATACTACTCATCTTGATCATGGATTTTACAAAAGCCCTCTCGAACTCTTCGTTGGAACTTGCGTACTTGGCCACAAGTTTCTTAGTAGAGGGCACTGCGAGAAGCGCTTCGTCAGATGAGAACAGTGACTTGCCTTGCATAAGCATCCTGTAGTAGATATTGTCGAATGATGACACGGTTCCATCCAAGGTCGATCCAGCGTTCTTCACCGTGTTATGGGCTGGGCACACTCCCTCCAAGCTGGCTGCAAACGACGGGTTTAGTGTTGGGTCAACCTCCTTTTGGGTGTTGAAGTTGTGGAGCCTATTCTGGAACGATGAGCAGTGGGCAAATCCTAGTGTATGTCCCCCTGTCATTTCATTCAACATTCACAATTTATATTACTTCACATAAATAAGTAAGATCATCGAAACTGTAAAAATCCACCTAGTTTCTAGATTGTGTACATATCCACTTAGTTTAAGAAATTTTTGTTTCATATATTTATGTCACATCTCTAAGGATACTAACAAGATTTTTCAATATAGCTTTGTATATGTATTTTAGGTTAAGGGGAGAAATGTAGAATACCAGAGAGAACAACAAGATCATGCATAGAGAGGCCTCTTTGGCCAAAGTTTTGACGTAGTTGAGAGATGTTGAAAGTAGGAGCTGGTAGTTGTCTTGTTTCTATTGCCTTTGATATTCTTCCATCTTTTCTCCCTTTAGGCACAGCCCATGTCGGCCCTCCTGACTATAACAACACCCACAATGAATGTTTTGAGTGGATCAATCATCAAATCATCAAAGAAGAGGTAGTATTTGGAATATGAGATAGAGAGATCACTCACGAGAGCGACCGCATCTCTTGCAGCGAGTGAAAGAATGTCGGCGCAAGAGACAATACCGGGGCATTGCTCTTCTAATGCCTTTTTTGCATTGTCAATCACATAAAACGCATGGAGTGAGATGTTAGGAGGTCCATCTTTCTCTGCTTTGTTCTTACCCTTTGAGTCTAATAGAACTGACCCATCACATCCCTTTAAAGATCAAACATATATATTCAAGTTATTAAGAGTATAAACACATATGACATTGAAAGATGGCAAGAGAATGTTGTGTGTAAAGTAGTTAGTACTCTGACGAAGCAGTCGTGGAAATGCATCCTTAAGAGCGCGGCTGGGACTGTTTTGTCGTTTGACATGGCCTTCTTGACTGCATTGGTGACAATGTGGTCAGCTTGTGGACATGAATGGTCGTAGTAGTGAGGACTAAGTGCTTGGACGTCAAAAGAAACCACTAAGATGACAATGAGAAGGACATTGAAAAAATGTGCATTCATTTTGGAATTTTCGAACTCGGAATTATCAAAATCTTTCTTGAGTGAAAAGGAATGTATTTAGAGAATTTGTTGGGTGGCTTATGTGATGAAACATGGACAGGATTTTATAGGCATAGTTTAAGGAATTTAAATTTTTGGGAGATGGAGTTGTTAGTGAGATGATAAGGTTGTTAAGCAAATTAGGTCATGTAGACAAGACTCGTTTTGGTTGTGGTGGAGTAGATTCTAAGATTTAATAATTTAGATTCCTGAAAATGACAGAACAAAACAAAGGAAAAAAAGTTCAGTAGGACAATAATATGTGTCGTAAGAGAATTTTATTGGTTTAAGTAAAGATATTAACGAATTTTTAACGAGTTTGATATTGAAGCTCTAAACAACAACATAAGTAGACACGATTTGGTTGCGGTGGAGTAGAGTTGAAGCTAATAAATTCATGAAAATGACATACCAAAACATAAGAAAATAAATTGACTAGTCCCTTTCGGGGACATAAGATAAAATTGAACGATACAAAGAAAAAATTAGCATGACTCCTAAGTCCTATGCAAAGATGACATGCACAAATCGAACAAATAAGCTTATCATTTTCTTTTTTTAAAAAATAAAAAAGCTTATAATTTTCTGTTTTAAAAAAATAATAATAATGAAATTGTTTAAGGAAATGCTTCACTAGTTGTAAATTTTTTTTTTTTTTAATTATGAAATCGTGTAAAAAAATGTTTCACTAGTTGTAAAAAAGTTTTTTCGAATTAATTTTATATTTTATTCAGAAAAATAAAAAAAAATAATCTAAATTATTAAATCTTAGAAAATAAAAGTTAACTTTTTTTTGGTCGAGAGAAAATGAAAGTTAACTTGACTAGAGCAATAATCTATTTATGTATGGTACATAAGATAGTTGCATCTACGTGAAAATTAACAAATTTTTGTAAAAGTTGATGGATCTTGACAAATGATATTACAACTCTAAACAACCAAGTTTTGCTTTTAAACATATTCAAACAACTAATAAGTACGTTTTTTTCAATAAATGTGTGGGACTTGAGATTTTTCTGTCAACATGAAGATTAACGATTTTGTATATGAAAGTTTATGGATTTTGACATTTGATATTACAACTCTAAACAACCAAATTTGCTTTTCAAACAACTAATAAGTATGTTTTTAATAATATAGAAACAACCTAACCAAATACTGTGGAAGCAAAAAAACAAAAAATACATGATTGGGTTCTTTCTTTCTTGATTGAAGAAAAGCAAAAGCCAAGGTGTCTCAAACGATATGTCATTGACTTTGTTGTCCACAAGTTCAATCTTTTGTGGATTCCTTTTTCTTATTTTTCTTGTTCTCGTTCGTTTTCTTTTTTTCGTGGACGTATGTATATAAATCATTAAATTGTAATATGTTTCCTCAACGGTTTAGGTGCCAATTCCTCTTCATAGGTGAGACCTTTCAAAAATTACTATGAGACCATAACTTTTTCTGGTGTTTCTTTTTTATTCGATCATAAACTATTTGTTTTTTGGATTTTACAAATAAGTATTATTTTGTAGTTTTGAAACAACTATTTGGATTTTTTGAATAATTTATTTAGTTAAACAAAATTGTAAAGAAATTTTATGAATAACTTAAAATTGGAACTTATGTCAAAGTACATATTGCATATTTTTTGGAGGTACGGATGAAGATGAATCTCGCAATTATTTTTAGGTTATTCAGTAAAATTTCTGCTTTTACTTGTTTGTAGGCTTCTTGTAAATGGATTCTTTCCAAATTGGGATAAGCTGATCAACTTGCCCAATAGCCCCAACTACAATCGAACACAACTAATCAATTTTAGGTATACTTTTCAAGGCACCATTCATCACATACATATAGTGTGAGCGAAACAAAATACGCCATGGAGAAACCCTCGTATCTTCAGCTCGACTTGCAAAACTCATAGACCAGAACATTACGAGGAATTGGTTCAGCTGCAGCTGATGTCAAAGAGTTTTTAGTTATGGCGATTGGCTCAGACCATAGTTTATTTGAACTACAAATATAAAAATAACAACTTATAACATGAAATTATTTATTTTGTTTTCTTCTGTTTTTACATAGTGAAAATTAAAGCAATTACTATAATATAAACATACCTAGAATCATACTAGTTGCATAATGTATTTTCCTAACAACTTATCAACGATAATTTGGTAAGCTTTTTCTGTTGGATGGTAACTATCCCAAAATATATAAGAAGATGAATTTTTGCATGTAAAAGGATTGATTTTGTTGCACAAAAATAATACTTCTAGTAGTCCTGTTCCACAACATCCTCTAGTTGATACTTCAAATCCTATAAAAAAGAAGAAATAATTTTAGTAACTAGTAGAGTTTTGTTACTATTTCTCAATGGCCAAAATATTTTGATTCAATCTAGTATGCTCTAAAATAAAAGAGGTTTGTGAATCCGGATCCAAATAGTAAAAACACGGATCCATCAAAATTGGATCCATATAAAAATCCATAATTGAATAGATTATAAGCATAAAATATCTTTTACTATATGCATGTGTGATATTAGTATCATGGTTATTATATTAGTCTCAATACTTAAATATTTAAAAATTTCTTCTAAAAATACTATATTTGAATACTATGTAAGTATTACTTACTGATTTCAGTTAATGTTATAGATTCATTTACAAATAGCATAGGTTTTGGACCATTTAAGCATCTAAAAACTTAAAATTCCTAAAATTATAGCCTATTGTCTTTTAGGTTTTTATAATTAATTCACATTTTAAATCTTACACAAGCAACATAACAAATATATATAGTTAACAATAATTTGTGAGAAAAATGATATGTATTCATACGTACCATAGTTTTTAGGGTTTTCTATCATGTCATTAAGAGTATCATATACGTCAATAAACACAATTTTACTATCGGGTAACTCTTTTCCTAAAGCATCCAACTTCGGAGATATCTTTGTGTTAAAGTGAAGAGCTACTTCGTTTAGTTTTTTTGAACATTTTCGCTTCAATCTTCCATGAATTGTTCTAGCTGCTGGTACACATCCAACTGGTACTGCACTAAACACTCCGATTCTTCGAGCTCCATGTTTATATATATCCTACTTAAAACAAACATTAAAAAAGTTTCTAATTTGATTGAGAACAAAAAAGAAAAAGCATTGATACCAAGAGAATTGCTTACCCTGACAAATTTAGAAGATAAATCAGCCAAATAGTCAGCATATGAAGTTCTATTATATTTGAGGGAGCGTGCCATATATGTATGAGCAATATCATTACTGCTAGCTACCACAAGGTAAAGACTGTTTTTCACCATAAAATTAGCTTTCTCTTCGCCAACTGTTACTTTGATTTTTTCTTTATACTCTTGAAAATATTTTAGTTGATCTGATAAAGATATCACTCTCTGAAATGTTTGTAAGAAAAATAAGTTAATTAATATAATAATATTAGAAGATTACGCAAATTATTTAGGACGAGTTAAACTATATTACCACTAGTTTAGCTGTTAACGGGTCGTAACCAGAACCACCTGAAGCAAAATTTACACCTTTAAGAAGATCTTCATTTTTCAGCTTTGGATTTAAGTATGCTGGTATTGTCTTTGCTATTCCTAGTCTTTCTGCTGCAATACATTATTTTTTAAATAAAAACATAAATCGCCATAAATTTAAAGATATATTTGTTTCTTTTCATTCACTTTGTTAATTCTAAAATAAAAATAAGATGATACTAACCCACAATATCAGATGGAACTCTTCCATCAGAAAATCATCCAGTAGCAATTTTGCCTGGAAAATCTTTACCGTAAGGAGGAAAGTTACATTTTAATCTTGTACGGAGATTGTTGTTGTTTCCACTATCCACTATTGAGTCTCCAAATGTTATGACACCAGAAAAAGTAATACCCGGCGGTAGTTTTATTGTACCTTTCATAAATAATTATGATATATTTTACAATTTAAATGACAACAAAATTTAAAATAGTAATAATAATTTAACTTATTACTAGCGTTATATAAACTTAGGTTTATAAAGTAAAATAAATAAATAATATGAAACCATGTTTGTTTTACCAATAATTTCTAATATGGAATGACCAATATAACAAAAACCAAATTCACAAAAAAAAATTGAAAATTTTTAAATACATGCCGATAGTTTTCATATTTCACCTAAACAAAAAAGTTCTATATGCTTGTATAAAATCAAATGAGTTTGTTTATGTTATTTTTGAAAATAAAAATTCAATTTAATTCTTAACAGAGAACATGAATGAAACGATAAAAAGTTATTCACAATATTAGTAGTATTATGCACCTTCTACTTTGGCTTCTGTTGCGTTAGTTTCAGTATTTTGATCTAATGTAAATGTCTTTCTGCTACCTTCAACCAGTACTAACAAGTAGAATATGTACACCAAACGTGACATTACAGAATTAATGTGAATATATTTGAAACTAACGACGGAATTAGAGTAAAGAAAAGAATGATTAACTACATGAATAGATTTTTTTATTTCTATTTTTTATTTTTTATATTTTTTTGTATTTTTGAAAATGGAAGAAAAATGAGTAGACACCGTAAGAAATTGAATGTTGAAACAACAATTTATATAGTGATGAGTTTTGTTTTATGCTCTTTGATAAATAGCAAAAATTTACTAAATGCATGCTAGTCCGTCTAATTGTACCGATTATTTTGCTTAATGCTAGTGTTTGTCATTCAATTTCAAAAGTCAAAACGATGGTGTAAGTTTAGAGACGTCAAACTCATTGCTCGATTGTTATTTTTGTATATCATACATATGGACTATGTATATGTAATCATACTTTTTTTTAGCTACGGAGTAATATAATCCAGATAAAAATGATTCAGTCCAAACTAAAATACTCAAAACTAAAACTAGATACTCGTAAGAACTTTAATTTTTTTTAAAAAAAAGAACTTAAAAACTTTTGTTTTACCTATGTTTCTTTACAAACTACGATATATTTGAAAAAAAAAAAAGAAAAAAACATAATTCCTAACCAAAACCGCAAAAATGGACGATTTGAATGGATAATTTGCACAAAACCCTATAAATTACTCCAAATAAAAGAACAGAAAAAAAACCAAATCAAAATGAAGGTTAAACATCCCTCTCCACATGAAATTTAATTCCAAAAAACAAATATGTAAAAGTTTAAAAAGAAGATTAATGCCATAACTGGGTCATACTTGTATGTAAGAATCACAATGTACATATTGGAAAAGTGTTGGAAAACTAAACTCATTCCAACACTACATTATTGTTCGACCATATTGATATATTACCAGTCAGAACAGATGAGTTTATTGTTCTTGTATAAAAAATGCAATCAATAGTAAAACGAAAAAGAAACAAGCAATCAATGAAATATGAAAAAAAAAAAAATCAAAGAAACCACTTTTGTTTTACCATAGCAACAGTGACCAAACAAAGCATGTCACAGTATATTCAAAATCCCCCATTAACGAGAAGAGATTATTTCCTTTAGTTTCTTTTTCTTCCTTCTCTAGTCCTAAAATATTGTAACGCTGTGAAATTCAGCGGTACGTTATGCAATTCATATTTTCACTAGAGATAAAGAGTAACGATCCTTCATTCTTCGATCCTAGAAGGCTCACCGACCGTGTTCTCCATTCGAGAATACCATTCGCCAATGCGTGTGTTGTCCACCATATCCTTACCAGATCGAAGGTATCTTATTGGCCTCAGAACACCAAATACTGCAAGATCAGCCAAGTTCGGTTTTGACCCACCTGCTTATTATAAACTACAATCATGGACCAATCAAGAAAGTGGAGACTAGATTCAGTATTATATTGGAGGTTTTACATACCGAGGTATGGACGCTCTTTCAAGGCATCGACCCATGTCTCAGCAGCATCATACAGAGCCGCACGTTCATCAGTAATGTTATATTTCTTCTTCAGTTTCTTTGACACAAAGTACATCGCGGTTGCTCCTGCATACTTTGCCACTAATCTTTCGGTGAAACTGAAATTTCCTGCACAGGGTACAACATTACAACTTGGACAAGAAGTACAGTTTGCTGTAGATGTATAGTGACGAATACGTATTCCCAAAACTCGTATCCCAATAACTCATCTGGTAAACTACTAACCCATACATATCTTTCGAAAGGATATAAATACCAAATGAACATACAAAAAAGGAAAATAAAGAAGATCACATACCATGTGTGGTGATGTAATCAAAGGATTCAAGAGCCTCTGAAGTATTCCTGTATATGTTTGGTGACAAAAGATGCACAAGGTGATTGTCCACCCACCTATAACACATAAGTTACATAATCAGCCTCATGTCAGTAATGTCACATATCCCCAACTAGAATCAGTATCAGTCACTAAACTATAAAAAAGATCATTACTTGCGCCACTTAGTCTCTTCATCATCTTCAGACTTCGAAATCTCCGGGTGCATCTTCTGGAACAAGCTATCGATTATTGCTGCACCAAACAACCAAAAGATTACTCAATTAAACTAATGAAACAACGAATTAGGAAAGAAGAATAGAAGTTAGTGACACAAACCTGAAGAATCAACCATTTGTTCACCATCTACAGTAAGAATAGGCACCTTCTTATACTCAGACCATTTGATTTCTTTCTTACTGATTGGATTCACTTCAACAATCTTGTATGGAATCTTGTTAAAATCCAAGAAAGCTACACAAGATAAACATTATGTTAATCATCATCTCTATCTTACTAAATCACAAACAACAAGAACCAATTTGAATTCAAAACAACCACTCTCCACTATAAATCACAAACAACAAGAACCAATTTGAATTCAAAACCACCACTCTCCACTAAAGCTAAGCATTTCTCTCCGTAAGTTCAGCCTCTAAGCATGGAAAAGCAAGAATCAATGATTGAATCATATCAATGTTTCAAAATCTGATCAGATCCATAAAAGTTGAAATATATACCTTTAACCTTGTTACAGAAAGGGCAAGCTTCGTACTGATACAGAACAACTTCTTTAGGATTAAATTTCTGAGCCATTTCCTTAGCGTGAACTTCCTGACCAAGAGACGAAGCAGCGGCGGCAGAGAAGAAGACAATCCCAGCGACTCCGCCGGCGAAAGAAGGAGTTGAAATTTCCGGAAGACCGCCGAATCTTCGAGTGATTGGTTCGGAGGAAGACGAAATCGTTGTAATCGCCATGGATTGAGCGAGTCGTGGATGGATTCCAACGGAGGATGAGATCGTTCGCGCAGCAAGTCCGGTGACTCTCCTCATAGCTTTGTGTGGATCTGTTGTGATTGAGATCTGGATCTTGAGATCTTTGATTGTTTCAGCTTTGTGTGGTTTCTCTCAAGGCGTTTTGTTTTGGTTTGTTTATTCAACGAAAGGGTTCTTAGGGTTTAAGCTGTGTCCACGATTACTACTTCGAGAGCCTTTTAGATTATTCGTAGGGCTGTTTGCGGAAAAGAATAAAAGAACATTTTATTTTATTATTATTATTAAATTTTTTTTTGTCATTTCAATAACTAAACTACAAGTTTATCGTGAACAAACTCTCTTCTAGGGAGAGCCACAATGGTATCGATGTGCTTGTATAGGAGAATTGTATAATACGGTTTTTTGCTTTCTTCGCAAGGTAGTCTGAGTGCCCGTTTTCCTTCCTAGAAATACGACGGATCTTGAAGTTCGAGAATGAGATCTTTAGATCACTAAAAGAAGCATACTCGGCTGCAAATGTGGGCCAATCCGATGGCACGATTAGCATAGTAAGGATATCCGAACAATCTGTGGCAAAGCAAGCATTGTTCTGACGAAGCTCTAGCATACACTCCATAGCCCAAAGAAGGGAGTCCCATTCGGCATGAAGGGGTGAATGGGATCTCCTAACACTCTTGAGACCAATCCAAGAGTGGCCTCACGAGGAATTTCCTCGATCATCCAATAGGATCCACCCAAGGCCACTAAAGGGATCAGAATCAAGCCAGGAGGCATCACATTGACATTCCAAAAGTGGAGAGGATAGGGGCATCTGGACGACCAAAAGAAGTGTCGGAAGGTCTGGCATAACATTTATTTCCATAGCTCGCCGCCACACTTCTGCTTCATGTGTAGCTAGCAAAAGGGTCTCTTCAGGTGACTCCCTAATATTCTCAAACATAAACCTATTACGGGCTTTACAGATATACCACAAAATCCAAGGAAAGTTATGGATATTGGTTTCATCTATCTTCAATTCTTTACCTCTCCAAAAGAGAAAGTCAAAATTGTAACATAGAGATTGACGAGGGAACACCGTCCCTAAAGAAGGTATAGAGGATAGAACCCAGACTTGTCTAGCCGGAGGACACTCAAAGAGGAGATGATTAATCGTTTCCTCTTCATGACCACAACGGAGACAATCTTTCTCCCTACCAATATGTCGAGAAAAAGTCTTTGACAGGTTGGTAAGCAACCCGAGAGACATTGCCACATGAAATGCTTCAGCTTTCTTGGGTTTTAGTTTTTCCATACTTGTGCCTGGAGTGCCGAAACATCCGGTCCCTGAAAAGGGAGGTCACAAGGAAGGCGGGAAAGAATTCTCGCGGCTCAATACCCTGACTTCACAGTATAATTTCCAGATTTTGTATGAACGTAGCTATACCCATCACTCAGGTATGTCCGACTAGGGCGAATACCCAGAATAAGAGGGATATCCGGTAGGTCCACTAAAGCATTCAATTGGTCAAGTTTCCATTCCTGAGTATCCCTATCCAGTAAATCATTAATTACAGATGTGGATCCTGAAAAGCGAGAACACTTTTAGCAGGTCGAGGTGGGATAGTGGGAAGCCACGTGTCAATGCATACCCGAGTAAGCATTCCCGAACCAATAGTTCTGCGAAGACCTGAAACAATTAGAGGCTTGGCAGAAAAAATACTCCTCCATCCATAGGAGGGACGGTTGGCCTTAACTATTTGTAGAGGGTCGCTATATCTATAGTATCTACCCCTCAAAACTCTACTTAACAGTGAATTTGGGAAGCGAAGGAGTCTCCAAAATTGTTTGGCAAGGAGCGCCTGATTAAATTCACCCAAAGTTCGAAACCCAAGCCCTCCTTTAAAAAGTTGGGTACATAATTTATCCCAGGCTTTCCAATGAATACCATTACTCTCCGTCCTGGTTTTCCACCAGAAGTTAGCAATGGCACTACTTAACTTAGTAAGGATAGCCTTGGGAAGTAGGAAACACGACATAACATATGTCGGAAGAGCTTCAGCTACCGCCTTAATAAGATCTTCTTTCCCCCCTTTGGAAAGGAATTTTACGGACCATGTACTAATACGTCTTTGGATTCGATCGCGAACAAAGGAAAAAACTTGGGTTTTTGATCCGTGAATCTTCTCTGGTAAGCCTAGATAAGTGCCCATACCACCTTCAGTTGGATTTTTAGGATAGTCTTGATATTGCTACGGACTTCTGTTGCCACCTCGTGTCCAAACATCACCGAGGATTTTACTTCAATAAGTTGTTGTCCTGAAGCCTCGCCATAGCGACGAATAACATTGAGAACTTCCTCCCCTTGCTCAGGGGTCGCTCTACAAAAGAAAAGGCTATCATCCGCAAATACTAGGTGAGAAGTTGCAGGGCTAGCCCTAGCTATTTGCAGACCTTGGATTTTTCCTTGCCATTCCGCCTCATTAAGTTGAGCCACAAGGGCTTCAGTGCAAAGGATAAAAAGAAAAGGGGAAATTGGGTCCCCCTGCCGGATACCCCGGGACGGTTTTATATGTCCTCTCGGAGTACCATTAATTAAGACTTGGTACGACACAGAGGAAATGCAAAACATTATCATCTCAACAAATTTGGGGGCGAAACCCATTTTCAGCATCAGAGCACGGAGGAAAGGCCATTCCACTCTATCATATGCCTTACTCATATCTGTTTTAATGGCCATAAAATTCTTCCGACAATTTGAATTTGTGCGGAGAGCATGGAAGTTTTCCTGAGCAATCAAGATATTATCCGTAATAAGGCGTCCGGACACGAATGCGGACTGAGTCTCAGAAATCAGATTCGCAAGAAATCTTTTCAGACGAAGACTGAGGATCTTCGATAGTACCTTATAACTAACGTTACATAAGCTTATTGGCCTGAATTCCGTCATCGAGCAAGGTCTATCAGTTTTTGGGATAAGGCAAATATTTGTCTCATTCAGGGATTCATCAAAAGTACCCGTGGAATGGAAAGCTTGGGCTAGTTTGACAAGGTCATTGCCAACTATATCCCAGAATCGTTGATGAAACAACACCGTCAATCCATTGGGGGAGTCTTTTCTGGATTGAGAGAAAAATGGCACGTTTAACCTCGTCAGGAGAGATGTCTTTGGTAAGTTGCTGGTTTATTTCCTCAGTGATCTTCAATGGAACGTTCCGGAGAACCGATTCCAAATCCTGAGGGTTGGATACTGTAAATAAGTTGCTAAAATATGAGACCACTAAGGCCTCAATCTCATCTTCATTATCTATCCATTTGTTATCCTGGTCTAGGAGGCCAATAATCCTATTCTTAGCCCGTCGTTGTTTAGTGGTAGCATGGAAGAATTTGGTATTCTTATCACCATGCTTTAGCCAGGTTTCGCGACTTCTTGTCTGCCAATACAGCTCTTCCTCTCTGTAGGCATCACAAAGTTTCCATTTTAGTTCTAACAAATCTTCAGAGGATATCTCTGGATTGTCTTGAGCTGCATCAATCTGAGATTGGAGACTTAGAATAAGCTTTTCGGAATTGGTAATGTTAGATTTCTCCAATTCGACATAGACACCCGACAGTTCTTAATCTTTCGGGAATAAAACCACCTCGGCCCCGTCTGGGGGCCAGCCATCCGGCTTTAATTGCTTCTCTTAGACCAGGTTTACCGATCCACCTCTTGTCGAACATAAAACGTTTGACCAGTCTCTGGGGTTTATTTCGAACAGAAGCTAACATGTGTCTGTGGTCTGATTCCCACATTTAAAGATACTCCACAGTTGTGTGGAAAAGATATGGTGCCATTCCTCATTTCCCAGGGCCCTGTCAAGACGAGAACGAATTAAGCCACACTTGCGACGTCCTGCCCAGTAAAGGGAGTTCCCTGTAAATGGGAATTCAAGCATACCACAATTTTCTATCATAGCTCGAAAGGGAAGAAAAGAGGATTCCGATCTCTTTTCCCCCCCCCTTTCTTTTCATGATTTCCAGTAATCTCGTTAAAATCTCCAATCATGAACCAATGTTCGGAGCGATTAATCCCTATCCGGGTAAGGCATTCCCAAACTTCTTCTCGGTTTTGAACAACCGGATCACCATAAACAAAAGTAACAAAAACACGGTTTCCATCAATAATAGTTTTAATATCTATTAAACGATCACTAAGATACAAAAATTGCACCGGATAGTCACTAGAATACATAAGTGCAAGACCTCCACTTGTACCCGACGGATCAATCGTTTTTAGGCAATCAAACCGTAAAGTAGTTTGAAGTTCTTGAAGATACAAAAGATCATTTTTTTGTCTCTGACAGAAAAAGAAAACCTAGAGAAAACATACGGCACATCTCCTCTAGTCGGTGTTTAGTAAGTTTTGCTCTCGCCCCTTGACAGTTCCAAGCTAAAATCCTCATGGGTTGATTCCGTGGGGGTTAGAAGGCCCCACCAAATCGATATCATGCCTTAAAATTTGGTGACTGATCACCGGAACTACCCCATTACGGGGGACAAAACCAAATTTTCTCGATCCCTTAGCTTTTGAGACTCGAGATTTGCTCGAGAGAAGAGTGAGGGGAGAACCACCCCTAACAAATTGAATCTCTCGTGAAACAACACTAATATGTAAGAAAAGATACTCCTTTTTACAAGGGAAAATACTGAAATTTTAATTATTCTTGGTAACATAAAAAACGAGTTGTTGATTTGGCATTTCAGTGTCCACTTTCTCACGTAAAAAGAGAATATTAGTGAACAACATAACACCAACAAAACTAAGCAGAACACGTACATGATTCCCCTTTCCCTAAAGGAAGAATGTTTAAAGAAACTCTCTTTAAAAGAGGAAACTAGTGCAGCCATATAATATGTGGTTAGGTTGTGAGGCCATGAGGTGTGGTTGGCTAGCAAGATTATACGAAGCCGACGTTGTAACAGAGGTCCACCAAGAAAAGTTTTCTGCTGAATCCCACGAAACAGCTACAGCAACAAAGGTCTGACAAACGTCCATTTTGGATGGTGGTGACGTAACTTGACGATGTCGGATGCGGCTCCACCATCTCCATGACTGGACAAAATAAGGAGAGAAAGAACTCACCATTAAAAATAGTGGAAAACGAGTAGATTGAAAATCGGAACAAGAAGTTGAAATCCTCGCCAAAAAGAATCTCATGTTTCTTCAAGCAATCTTTAAGAAAACCTTTCTTCCATGAAAATGGTGAAAACACTAGAAAAAAACATTTGCTGGATCTTCAAACAAAATTCTGAAATTTTAGATCTAGATCTGATTTTGAAAAAGTATCGAACTCTGAGCCTGGGAGCATTTTCTCTCACATCTCTCTAACGTTTCTCTCAACTCTCTCGAATAAAAGAACATTTAAAACTTCAAATAAAATGTAATATTTAGATGTAATTTTATTTTTGTTATAACTAAGTGGTGGATATAAATACAGTTATATCTAGATACTAATTTTTTTATTTAAAGTTTAAGGGTCCAACTTGTTCTTCAATTTGTTTACCATTTACCAGTAATATATATTACAAATTTTGACACAAGGACCCGACACTATTCTTAGAGCATCTTTAAAGGGATCAGTGGGAGGATGTAGTTTAGAAAATTTTAATTATTATAATAATGTAAGAGGTTAAATTAAGAATCAAAGTTATAGAGTTGATTATTGGTTGAACCTTTAAAATCTTAAAATTTTAATAATTTAATAATGTAAAATATATTAAAAAAAATTAATTATAAAAAAATATTTAAATTGAAAAGATTAAAAATAAACATAAAATTGATTTGTAAATACATTTTCAAAACGTTGCTGCATTGAAATCTTGTTTATGTGTTCATCAACCCAAAACTAATATATTTTGCTCTGCTTCTCTTATCAACAGGATTGAATTCTTACCTCTGGTTACCTTTCATTCCTTTTGTCGTAAGGAACATACAAAACCTTTAAAAGAAACTTATTTGTTTTGTTTTGGTTTCCACAAAGTAGTAACAAAAATGAATGTATAAACAAACTTGCAGGTGATTCTTATCGTTGGGACAAAACTTCAAGTGATAATAACAAAACTAGGACTACGAATCCAAGAGAAAGGCGACGTAGTAAAAGGCACAACGCTTGTTCAGCCCAGTGATCATTTCTTCTGGTTCGGTCGCTCACGTTTCATTCTCTTCCTCATTCACTTGGTTCTCTTCACGGTAAGCACCAATCTTACTTTCTGATTTTCCCCCTACAACACAACGCGAAAAAATGACTCAACATAACCATACATTTCTGCCATTTTCAGAACGCGTTTCAACTCGCTTTCTTTGTCTGGAGTACGGTAAGCAAGCAAGGCTGCATTCTCCACCAACTTAACAAGTAATATACCAACTCATTCATCATTTCATCGAAAAAACTATTTGCTATCTCTTCAGTATGAATTCGGTCTAAAGAACTGTTTCTATGAAAGCAGTGTAGATGTAATCATCAGAATCTCAATCAGGTAAGTAAAAACATAAGCTTTCAAAACCAAATCATAGAAAGAAACTGAGTAATCATACCTTATTGTCCCAAACTAACAAAGTCCCAAGCTTTTTCTTGATATTGCAGACTTATTGTCCAGATACTTTGCAGCTATGTTACTCTTCCTCTTTACGCTCTAGTCAATCAGGTAAAACACACTCACAACATACATAAAGATTCCAACTTTCAATTTCAAAATCTGATTTTTTTCCAAAGATGACACATAAAAATCCTAACTTTGCAATTTCTAAATCTTTGGTGAAGGTGGGTTCAAAGATGAAACCAACAGTGTTCAACGAGAGAGTAGCAACAACATTAAAGAGTTGGCATCACACAGCAAAGAAACAGATCAAACATGGAAGAACCTCAGAATCAACCACACCTTTCTCTAGCCGACCAACAACACCAATGCCTACTTTGGTTCAGTAGGCATTAAAACCAGAAGCTGATTGCTAACTGGTTGCTCAATGAGGGCAAACAATTTTTGCTTAACATCCAAAGCAGTCTCTGTTGGATTACACTGGATAAAGTAAGTGGTTTACATGCGCTTCACACGAATATACATGGCCTTCAAACAAGTTTACACAGTAATCAATACTACAACAAACATGGCCAAATCTAGTTTTGTCATCACGATGCTGGAATTAAAAAGTGGATAACATGTTCGCAGTGCAAAAACATCTTCACTTTCCAGGTACGATATAAGCAAAGAATGATCGAATGTACAAAGAACGATCAAACCCATCAAACTGAACCAACAAAGTAGAAACATATAGATGTAAATAGTGTATACATACCATGGCAAGACAAGGATGAGCAATTCACTCTTCTTCCGCTGCTGATTCCGACAAAAAACTGTTTCGCAGATACCAATAAGAAAGATTGAAAAACACGTAAGAGTCAATTTATACTAGCCGAGGATCTTGTTGTCCCCCAAATCTATTCTCCTTTAGGATATTCAATTGAAAAACCAAAGCAAAGATTTTTAAAAATTTACCGACTCAGATAACAAAGAACTCGAATGACCTAGATTGATTTGTTAAATATACTTTAACATGAACCCTAAGATCTTAAACATCTATATTAATCAGATAATAGAAACATAAAGAGGGTTAAAGTAATACCTCCACTCATTGTAGAAATGATGCTTTCTTTAATGGTTCCTTGAAGCCTTCTTTAGTTTTCATTTGAAGCTTTCTTGATTAATGGCTTGTAGTCTTGAAAAGAAACTCTTAAATCTTTTAAGTGGAAAATAAAGTTTCTCTCCCCTCTCCTATAAACCCTTTCCTTTAAGTGTTGTTTTTGTTCACGATGATTTTTGATGGAGCAAGTCATCTATTTATAGGTGGGGAGAGGACCTCATTCCTCATTAGGGTTTTGCCTTCCAATTTAATCTCAACCATCCATCAAAGTAGAGATTAAGGCAATGGTGACAAGTGTGAGGACAAGTGTTCTGTTGCATGGTTCTCTTAACATAAGAGTGACATGTGTTTTAACACTTGTCAATTTATGAACCAAAACATGACATGCAACTTAACACTTGTCTCTCCTATAAACACTTGTCCTCTTATTGTTTTTTAAATTTATTTAGGAATTCACTCCTTAATAACCAATTTTATTGGTTACCAAAATTTTATCAAAATATAACAATCCCAAATAAGAGACCAATTAACTATATGACCACATACATGGGTAAGAATAAATAATTTTCTTACATTCTCCCACTTGGTCGTTAGACTTAATGGTTTTATTTGGGAATCATAAGGCCGGCATAATATGTTATATTTATTCGTTTGGTCTTTCATAAGTGTCTTGGCTAATCTAGTAATCAATAAGAGTCATGGCGCTCACACATCATTTTGCAACATGATTCCTTCTATGTACTACTGCATTGACTACTTTCATAGCTAAACCATAAACATTATTCCATAAGTAGGAGTTATCTTTAATGGTCACTTTTATGTCTATATATAAAGACGTATTCTGTTATTAATAAATCCAACAAACAATAATGCCACGTTGGAAACAAAATATATAGAAGATGTAAAAACCATAAGAGAGCTCTTATAAATGTCAAACATAGATTTAAAACATTAACAAACTACATAATCAAGTGTTATCCTCCAAACCCATACTTTCTGAAGGAATTTGTACCGGTTTATAACGATTTATAAAACAAATTAAAAATTCAATTGCCAGGATTCATGTAAATATTAAACTAAATCTATGTCATCAGTTTATGAGTTTACCTCGGTAGTTTGCAACGGAAACGATGAACTAGAACAGACCGAGATTGTAAAGCACTCCTAATGTCGTGCCTCTACTTGTATCCACACGCACACATACTAGATCAGACGGGATGCTAGTGCCGTCAAGAGATCAGCTCAAGAACGTGACAAACCTTTTTGTATATATTAGGGTCAGGTCAAAGGACTATACTCTATAGTTGTAATGAGAAACTCTTATGACACTCATATAACATTCCTGTAGAGTTCTCATTGCGGGTCAGTCTAATATTGTGTTCTCCAACACATATTAATGTGATTGACTTTGATACTACATATCAATGACTCCACGAAACTTAGTCATCAAGTCACCTCACATACTAGTCACTTACGGCTATTAATGTCCCATTTAATAACCCTGACTTGGGACCTTAATAATTTATATCATCATTCACTTATAGGGTTTCATGATCAAGTTACGTACTTGATGACCTATAAAATGAAATAAATTATTTTGGGACAATTATTTAATTACTCAATAACCAAATAATACTGAAACAAATTTCATTAATTTGAAAATAAATCAAATATAAGTAAACATAAACATCATATCAGAAAAATAAAATTCTCCCACTAGAATCAAGATCACATCTTAAGATATATAATGCCTACTGCAGTAGTATGACTTTCATGCTTAGGTCGTGGAAGAGCCTTGGGTAAAGGATCTGCAACATTTGCATCTGTGCAGACTCTGCTAATCTTCACATCTCCTCTATCAACTATATCACAGATTAGATGATATCGTCTTAGATTGTGTTTGGACTTCTGGTGAGATCTAGGTTCCTTTGCCTGAGCGATAGCTCCATTGTTATCACAATAAAGATCCACCGGGCCAGAAATGCTAGGAACCGCACCAAGTTAAATAATGAACTTCCTAATCCAAACACCTGCTTTTGCTGCTTCAAAAGCAGCAATATATTCAGCTTCAGTTGTAGAGTCTGCCACGGTGCTCTGTTTGGAGCTTTTCTAACTCACCGCTCCTCCATTCAGACAAAAGATAAATCCAGATTGAGATCGAAAATCATCTTTGTCTGTCTGAAAGCTGGCATCAAAGTAACCACTCACAACAAGCTCATCACTTCCTCCATAGACCAAGAACTTATCCTTAGTTTTTCTCAAATACTTGAGGATATTCTTGACTGCTGTCCAGTGACTTTCACCTGGATCAGATTGGTATCTACTCATCATGCTTAAGGCACATGCCACATCTGGACGAGTACAGAGCATGGCATACATGATAGAACCTATAGCGGAAGCATATGGGATTCTACTCATGCGCTCTCGCTCATCATGTGTTGAAGGACACTGAGTCTTGCAAAGAGTTATGCCATGAGACATTGGTATAAAGCCTTTCTTAGAATTGTGCATATTGAATCTGTGCAAGACCTTATCTATATAAGTATCTTGACTTAGTCCAATTATCCTGTTTGGTCTATCTCCATAGATCCTTATTCCAAGAATATAGGCGGCTTCTCCCATGTCTTTCATTGAAAAGCAACTCCCTAGCCAAGTTTTAACAGACTTAAGCAAAGGGATGTCATTTCCAATAAGTAGTATGTCATCTACATACAATATCAGAAATGCAACTGCGCTCCCACTAGTCTTCTTGTAATAAAGATCTGTGTGACTCATCATTGACCGAACCATATCTAATAAAGTCCGTCAGACACACCATTCCATTGAGGTGTTCCTGGAGGAGTGAGTTGTGATAAAATTCCACATTCTCTAAGATGATCACTAAAAACTTGGCTCAAATATTCTCCTCCACGATCTGATTGAAGAGCTTTAATTGTTTTGCCAAGTTGATTTTGTACTTTATTCTGAAATTCTTTGAACTTTTCAAAGGACTCAGATTTATGTTTCATTAGATAAACATAACCATATCTACTGAAGTCATCAGTAAATGTAATGAAGTACTGATAGTTTCCTCTAGCACCTAAGCTCATTGCTCCACATACATCTGTATGTACAAGGCCCAATAAGTCACTAGCTCTTTCACTATGTCCAGTAAAAGGAGCCTTAGTCATTTTACCTAATAAACAAGATTCACATTTTTCATATGATTCATAATCAAATGATTTCAAAAGTCCATCACTATGAAGCTTTTGAATGCGTTTCTCATTTATATGGCCCAAACGACAATGCCAAAGAAAAGTAGGATTCGAGTCGTTAGACTTGAACCTTTTAGTATCAATGTTATAGATAGGCACACTTTGGTTCAGAACATAAAGCCCATTCTCTAATGGACCGCTACCATAAAAAATATCACCACGATCAAATGAACAACACTTGTCTTTAATCGAAAAATGAAATCCTTCCAAATCCAAACAAGAAATAGAAATGATATTCCTGCTTATAGCAGTTACATAGTAGCAATTCTTAAGTTCTAAAACCATGCCAGAAGGTAAAGACAAATTAAATGTTCCTACAGCCAATGCAGCAACTCTTGCTCCATTCCCCACTCGTAGGTCCACTTGTCCTTTCTCCAAAGCTCTACTGTTGCTTAGGCCCTGCATATTAACACATATATGAGCGCCACAGCCGGTATCCAATACCCAAGAAGTAGAACTAGAAGTAGCAACATTTACTTCTATAACATAGATACCTGGAGAAGAAGTCTTAAAAGTCTTCTTCTTCTTCAGATCTTCCAATTATTTCGCGCAGTTTCTCTTCCAATGCCTAGAGCCATTACAATAATGGCATTTGTCACCACCAGAAGGACCAGCCTTAAACTTAGGAGACGGATCAGATTTACCAGGATTCTCAATCCCGGTTATCTTACCCTTTCCTTTGTTCTTAAAATGTTTCTTAAACTTTTTGGTCCCTTGCACCATTAGGACATTTGAAGTGTCCTTCCTGATGTTTGGTTCAGCAGTTTTGAGCATTCCATGCAGCTCAGTCAAAGTCTTTGTCAAGCCGTTCATATTGTAATTCAAAATGAACTGATCATAGCTTGACGGCAAAGACTGCAAGATGATATCAGTTGCCAACTCTTGGCTGATAGGGGAATCCAGTTTAGCCAGGTTATCAAGATAACCCATCATATTAATGACATGTGGGCTAACTGGACTGTCTTTTGGTAGCTTGCAAATAAAGAGAGCCTTAACAGTGTTATACCTCTCTGTTCTTGCTTGCTCCTGAAAC